CACACACACACACACACACACACACACACACACACACACACACACACTCGCCCCAGCCTGCATATATAAACAAGGCTGGTGCATCATGCGCTAAGGCCCAGTTTCCAGACTGAAATCCAGGACACCCGTATGTGGCCACATAAGCCCCCGAAATCAGGACATCTATAGCCTGGGCTGTCTCCCGCCATGTCCTCTCTGCCCCTTCGATAGCAAAGATGCCCTTTCATTGCAGACCCAATGTCACAGCTGTCCCAGGAAGACCTGCTGTTCCACCCTCTGTTTACGACTGCAGTTTGTTGACCTCAGAAATGCTAAGAAATCCTGACGTGTCGGCGCTCCCCTCCTGCTCTGCTCGTCTGACTTGTGCCTGTCGGTCTTTGCCAGACGTTTCATTGCTCAGCGTGGGGTCCCGAAGGCTGGGGGGTTGGTCCAGCCAGTCCAGGAACATTTGTGTCTCTTGCTTTCTACTGTGGTTCTGATCCTTTCAAATGAAGGTGGGGAGAGCAGCTGGGTTCTGCTGCCTTCCCTTTGACCTCCTGAGTGATGCCACCTTCAGGGCTGCAGCTGGATTTCCCATGAATCCCTATGAGTGATGAGTCACCATGTGCTTTCCTGTGCATGCCTCCTACAGCTTCCCCTGCGCTCCGCCCCGCCACTCCCTTCGTTAAAGAGACGGGGCAGGTTAAAGCTCATCTGTTAAAAATAAAGGTCCTTATCTGTGCTAACAGTAATAATTAATAATAACAAATTGTCCGTACTATGACAGCTGCTAACAGATCAGGGATCCGGTTATGCGGTGCCCGCTATATACACAGGGTGAGAGACAGTCCTTAAAGAGCTCACAGTTTAAACAGGCAAGGCGGACAGAACGGGGGGTCAGCAGCAGAACTGTGGATACAACCCTAATCCCCTGAATGCCAGCGCAGTGCCCTACCGACTACCTCTCTGAGAACCCCCTAGATTAATAAAACGGGCACTTGGAAGTAATCTAGTTTGCTCATCACCATTTATGCTGTTTGTTTCCCTTTCTCTCAGTTTGGAGAATTGCACAGGGCTAGTCAATCTGATGTTAGTTTCTAGTCAATTTCATTTTCTGGGTTTCCTGCACTAGCCCAGTGAGGAATGTTGGGGGGGGGGGGAAATCATAAAATCATTTAAAAAAATTCTATTATTATTTGGTTTTTAAGAAACCCTTTTATTTTTCAAGTGATGATTCCATTTGGGGCTTAAACAATCTTTCTTTAACTGGAGACAAGGCAATAACCGCTTAACCCATTGCGAACCTACAGGGTGGCCTTTTCGGAACCTCTGCCGATTTCTTTCCCTTTTGGGGCCTGTTCAAAGACCAGCTGTTGACTCATCCCGAGCCCCTCAGTTGTTCGGCAAAGCTCCGCGGTTGCGCTGGCTCGTTCTAGTCTGCAGCAGAATTTTCACCAGTATATATTCCCCTCATTTATCATCGGCATGGGATAGGGCCCATTGTGCTAGATTGCTGTACGACACCGCACAAACCGTGCCCCGAAGCCCCGCCAGGATGAGCAGGCTGCTCCAGGAAGTTGTGTGTGTGTGGTTTGTTTGTGAAGATTAGTGCTGGTGAGCGGAGGCTTCTGTCACTGACAGACACACTCACGCTTACCAGGGGAACAGGGATAGGCGGAGTTACAAGGACCTATGAAACGTTTTCGAAGGGATCTAAATTCTCCTGTGTCAGAGCGGGAGCCAGACCCTAACTAATGGGGTTGGGAGAAAATTTCCCGGGGGACAGGATATCCCATAGCTGTCGAGGGGGGGAAGGGGAGTTGTGGAACCATTCTTGAAAGCAGCTGATGTTGACCGCAGTAGGTGGCAGGCTATTGGGCTGGATGGACCCACGCTCTGCCCCAGTCGCATGGCCGTCTCCACGGCCTTGCTGCAGGAACTGTCAGTGCATGGTTCACGTGCGGCTAACTCTAGTGGGGAGTTTGGGGACGTGGACGCTCGGCCACCAGCTCACACCAGGCGGCGGCCCCCTCTGCTAGGGGAAGGCTCCATAGCCCGTTCTCGCAGGGCTGAGTCAGCCCGCTCCCTGTGGGAAATCTCCCAGCCCTTAGCACAACCAGCCCCGAGGGATCATGGTGCTGAACGTACAGGGCTCCCCCAGTCACCATGTGTCTGGGGGTGGGAGGGTTGCTGTGTAGTGGGGGTGAAGGCTCCGCCCACCCCACCCCGCCCACCGCATTCAGGCGCAGAATCCCCGCCCCCTCCCTGACTCCATCTCTCTCTCCCGTGCAGGCAGGACAAGCTGAAAGTTCACATGAGGAAGCACACAGGTGAGAAGCCTTACCTGTGCCAGCAATGCGGGGCTGCTTTTGCTCACAACTACGACTTGAAGAACCACATGCGTGTGCACACTGGCTTGCGGCCTTACCAGTGCGACAGCTGTTTCAAGACTTTCGTCCGATCCGACCACTTGCACAGGCACCTTAAAAAAGATGGGTGCAACGGCATCCCATCCAGAAGGGGGCGCAAGCCCCGGGTCAGAGATGTGAGCGGCCTGCCCGCCCCCGCAGGGAACCCCGAAGACGGAAGCTTCGAAGCTGGTGGCGAGAGACAAGAATCACAGGAGGACACCGAGCAGAAAAATGGCCAGGAGCAGCACTTTGAAGATAGTTCTAACAATGAAGCACCAGGAAGATTGAATGTAGCGGAGGGGTCGTCAGAGGGTAAAACACAAGGACTCTCCTAAACCAAAAAAAAAAAAAAAAAAAAAGTGTCACAAAATCTAGTTAGTACTTTCCTCCGATTTCTCTTTAAAATATTTCTCTCCCTTTTTAAAAGATATATATATATATATATATGTTTCCAATCTTCCCACCATAACCAGTCCCATGGGGACACCTCGAATAGCTAAGGACCTTTTGTTGGAAGGCCGATGCTTAGGAAGTGTGAGATCGGGAGGGTTGAAAGGTTGGTCTAGAACATGGAAAGAAGCGTCCATGCAAATCCAAAGCTTTATTTTGTGTCCAGACACACTTTAAAAAACGGCAGAGATGCATCTATTTAAAAAAAACCAGAACAATTCCAAGAGGTGAATAGGTTCTTCCTGGACAGTCACTACATTCTGTGCCTCCGTCTGACTGGATGCGAAAGAATTGAGTGCAGCTTTCTCTCCATTGGGAAGTGAAAGCTCCCGAGGCCCGAGATGGTCTTTTGTTGATCGGGGATTTGATTCTGCCGTAGGGAGTTCAGATCCTTTCTGGCCTGATGCTGAGCAAAGCTGGCTGAACTCACCTGGTGCACAATTTTTATAATGATAATTGGGGGGGGGGGAGAAACTGATGATATTTTACATATTCATTTTTTAAGAATGATTGCTCCTGCTACGTAGGTGGGCGAACAGAATTTTGCAAGGCTGCTCCGAGCTGCCTAGATGCCAGGTGAAACTGCGACTCTCCCCAGGAGGTTTAGATTGGCGCTTCATTCCCGACTGGGAGGCAGTTCAATCCTGGCTCTGCCACAGAATTGCTGGGTGACTTTGGGCCAAGTCATTTTCCCTCTCCGGGGGCGCAGCTTCCTCAGCTGGAAAATGAGGCAAATGCTGTTTTGTGTGAGGTTTGGGAAGTGCTTTGAGATCTAGGGCGTGCACGTTGCGATAAAGGTGCGAACTCCTTCCTCGGCAGATGAACTGACCGGTTAGGGGTTACTACGTGAGGGTCTCTTGGACAAAAACGGCAGCCCGCTCTGCTCTGTGCAAAGATCTTTGGGGCCCTTTTCCTGAGGATGTTTGCAGAGCCCTTGGCCAACGTTCCCCCTCACCCACCCATTGGGCAGCACATGTTTATGCCTCACTCTTGTCCTCCACCCCAGAGGTGGCTGCATTTCCATGAGTGCGGCATGTATATAGTTTGTAATGTGTTGTAGCATTAAAGGCCCTGTTTTAGTAAGATAGCCTTGTGGCTACCAAACTTCTCTCTCCCTAGCACACTGCAAACCTTGAATCAGGCAGAAACCTGAGCAATCGAATCAAATTCCAGGCAACCTCAGATGGAATGGGCTAGTTCTGTGCTTTGATGACTTATTGCCTGGTCCCGTGCTTGGCAAATTGTGCCCCAATAGGAGAGGAGCGGAAGGTAGGTTTTTGCTAGATCGGATTGTTGCCTCCTGAATCCGAACCTTGCCTTTCAAGACGCAGCATTATTCAATCCTCCCTGTTGAGTCAGACTCTCTGATACTCCCCTTCCCCAGAGCTGAAGTTGGAGCCCCCTCTGGGATATGGCAGGATTCTTCTTTAGCTTTGGGCCTGCTGGGAGTTAATGATCAGTGACTGACAAGATGGGGCGTTCAGTCTTTTGCCACCCTGACATGGAATGGACAGCGCCCATGTGACCAAGCTCTTAGCACTCGTTACAGCAGCTTTCACCCCAGGATCTCAAAGCACTTCATTAGATGGTTCTATTAAGTAAAAGAATCTCTTGGAGCAGGGTAACCCCCAAGATTTTAGGAATCAAATGAGAGCACCCTAAAAGCAATTAAAACTTGAATTTTTGGGGGATTTTTTTTTAAAGGGTTATTTAAGGTCTCCCTGAAAGGTGCGGGGAGTCTTTCTGGAGATGGAAGCTGTTGGGATAGAAATAAAAGCACTCGGGGGCTGCTACTCCTTTAAATTCCAAACCCCAACACCAAAGCCTTATCTCCTCTGGGGACCTCAGGCTGGGTCATTAAATGCACAGGCTTCTGGGATGGGTAGTTCTCCATCAGACTGGCACCAATGTATTTACTGTCCTGCAGAGGCAAAGCCAAATGTATTTATTTGAATAGCGGGCACTGAAAGACTGGCCTGGGGGATGTGCACAGAGCTAACGTGGTGGGGTGGAGGAGACGGGCACCGGGGCTGACCGCACCTGAAGCCCCGTTGTCCTTTCCTTGCTGCGGATACTAGGAGAGCGCCCGAAGCTTCACCCAGCGCCCGGTTTCAGTCCCAAAAAGATGCGGGCGTGACCTGTGTGTGAGATGATCAGAATCGCAGGCCACTGACTCCTTGACACGAAGGGGTTCAGGGCCTAATGCTCGGTTACACCAAGGCCTTTACAACCGCACAAAAAGACCTTGAAAGCGGCTTGTAAATTACTCCCACTGTAATGGAGTCTTCGGTCTGGTCCACACACAGGGTTTTGTACCAGTATAACTGTTTCAGGTAGGGGTGTGACTTTTGACTGAAGTAGTTATACCAGTACAATGCCTACTGTGGATACAATGATACCAGTATAAAGATATGAGAAGGGAAATAAGCAACACTGGTATAAGCATCTTTTTACCAGTAAACTGCATCCACATGAGAGGGTTTGTACCCCTTTAACTCTTCCGGGACAGGTAAAGGGGTCCAGTGCCCTCATGTGGACACTGAGGGTTGTTGGTGGTTGCTAGCCAGTCCCAGCCCTGTGATCTGAAACATCTTACATGGGTCAGTCTCAATCAATCCCTATTCCCCAGCTATATAGAGAGTCAAGTATACAGATATAAAGTAAATATTGGTGTGTATTACTCAGCTTAGCAGAGTCTAGAAAGGGCACCTTTCAGCCATTCTCCTGTTTTTTAAATGCACAGTTCAAAATGAAAAGAGATTCTAGTCCTTTTATTTTGAAAGCACTTTTTAGATTTTATTTTAATTTTAAAGTGAGAGCAGGTTTGGCCGAATGTAAACTGGAGAGGGAGTGAGAGGGGAGTGTGTGAACTGGGGGGGGGGGAGGGAGGGGAGTGTCGGGGAGAGAAAGATGGATGTTTATTTAATGCAGAAAAAGCAATAAAAATTTAAAAAACCATTATTAAAAAAAAACATAAAAAAAACAACCAAGAAGTCTTAGCACTTTGCGATGGAACGGGTACTTCGAAATCACTTTATCTTAATTTAAAAAGCAAACGCGAAACATGTTTACAAGTTGAAACCAACTTCTATGGGGAAAAATTATTATTAAAAAAAAAAAATTCCTAAATTTATTTTTGTAAGAAAAAAAAAAGTGTATATATATATATTAAAAAAACAAAACAAAACCCAACCTAGGCAGAATCCAACGTCTATTTCATGGAATAATCAAACAAAAAGATATCCAATGAGAGGAAGGATGCTAATTAGGTTCTGTGACATGACCTGAAAACAAACCCCTCAGAAGTGATTGCACTTCACAAAACGGAAGCTTGAATATTAGACAGGAATCATGGGTGTTTTTGTATTTTTTTTTCCTTCTATTTTCCTTTTTTTATTTGTCTGTTTGTTTCTTAAATGTCTTATAGCCAGTGCTAGCCCAGATGTCTCTCCCACCTTCCCCCATGCCCCTCCCGCCCCCAGGAGCATCTTAGCTTGTGTAGCAAGGAGGAAAGACAGTGTCTGAACTGCTGGGTGATGTAGTTGATGGGGGGGGGGAAGGACCATGGGACAGGGGCAGCCCCTGCGTTCTTCCTTGTTTCATTTCTTCTCCAAGGGTCACTCAGCCAGGCTGGGGTAGAGGATGAGATACGTCTCCTGGGTAGAGCGCTCCAAGCCAAAAGCATACTCCATCTTTGAAGTTAACCTAGCGTTTCCCAGCTCTGCCTCCTGCCACCCCGCTGTTTGGACAGCAGTAGCCGTGCTTCTAGCACGAAGCAGGGATTCAGGTTTGAAGTCAATTTATTGATGTCTAATTTCGGATAGAGACTTGTCTGGCTTGATGATGCCCATAAACCATTCTTCTCCTCCCTTGCCGTGAGCCCAGTGACTATTCCAGAATCAGATGCTCAGAGTGGAGCTGGGGGAAACCCACCTCACAAATTAAATATAGAGAAAATAAAGTATCAAAAATCGTATCCCCCATTGCTTTTCTTTGCCAACCGATCGGCTGGTAGCCAGATCTTTGCCCCACGGGAGCGCCCTCCTTCTGGCGTAATGTAAAAACCAAAAAAAAAATTCACAGCGAGGAATTCCCCCCCCCCCCCCCCCAAAAGAATAAAAAGGGGACAAAACCCAGCACTCCTGAATCAGCGTTTCCCCCGGGCCATAGGCCCAGCCTTACTGTCTGAACGCGGTCTCACTCCAGGAGACACAGAGAAAACTGCTGGTGCCTTTGCTTTCAGGTTGTAGTTCCCATTTGCAGAGCACGAGGCTGGGCTCGGATGAACTGTAAGATCAGTGCCGAGGAGATAAACTGTGGGGGGAATGTACCCTGCCCCCAAGGGGATGGAATTGACAACCTAGGAGGTCTCTTCACCTTTGATTCCTCTGATCCCGTGACAGTTGAGATACATTTTAATAAGATGGCTCAGTACTCAGTTGCATTTAGTGCTGGAAGCAGGTCTATTAAACTGCAGGGGTTGGAGGGCGTCAGTCAGCTGAAATATACATCCAAACAAGGGACCAGATCAGTCCTCACGCAGCAGCCAACTAAGGGTGAGTCTGAAAACATCTTGCTGCCCCAAAGCCAATCCCAGTTTCTCCGCAGCGTTGGCAACAGCGCAGATGCTGGGTCCTTCCTCCGTGCTGTAAAACACCTTAATCCTGGCCCCTGCCTTCCCATCCCAAAGAGAGCGGAGTGGAGTGTCCCATGACCCGGGCACTAGCTGGATGTGGCAAGCCACCTCTTCCAGGGATGAACCTCTGCTTAGCACTGGCTACCTATTGCATATGCAAAAACTAGTGTGGACTTGTAAATAGACAGTTACTTGAGGTTCTTTATTGTAATCAAAAGTTGTGGTATCTCTTTTCTCGTTTGTGTTACCCCTTCTCTGCCCCCAC